TGAGACTTGAAAATATTTTCCAATCAACTCACAACCCAGAAATGCAATGTCTTGTTTTGGGGGCTCTCCTGTAGATTTTAATTGATGCATCAATCTTCTCTTAGTCATCTGGGATTCAGTGCTGGGACATGTGAAATTCACTAAAAGAAAGCAACCAAGAGCTAGAAAGAAACATGGTAGGTCAGAACTCTTGGTGAGGAGCTGATTCTGAGAGATTAGAATAAAAAGAAGGCTAAGTTTATGTCTAGCTAACTGTTAGCTAGCTGTTAACAAATTATGGAAGTTTTCTTTGTTAACCCTAAAGTAATGATACGTACAAGGACAGTTGTGTTTTCATAAAAGCTTCTTAGAGTTGGAATTCATTTTTAATGGTGGGCTATTAAGCATAGTGACACGGTTGGGGGAAGATAGTGTTAAATTTCTAGGGTCACACCATACAGGGTGTGAACCTACCCAATAGCATGGTGGTGGAGGGAAGGAGAGCAATGGACACATTCTTCACATCCCCCACAGTGTCACAAAATGTTCTAGCGAAAGGAAAAATATTGACTGAGCTATAATCCCAGCACTCAGGAGGCTGAGGCAGGAAGATCATGAGTTCAAGGCCAAACCTCAAAAAAGGCAAATAACTAGAAGAGATCAACAATGACGAATAAGCACTAGGAAGTAAAACATTTGTTCATTCATTCATTCATTCAGAAGACGTTTGAGCAACTTCCTCCTGTGTGCCAGGCACTATTCAAATGCTAGAAATGTTGGTGCAAAAAAAAAAAAAAACCTGACAGAAACCCCTTGCCCTTATGGAGCTTGCTTACAAATTGTAGAAATAATGATGGACCTTACCAATATATCAAGTAAACCATGTGAATAGTCATGTTCTGTTTCCTGTGATACTGTAAAAAGGTTTTCAAGGCTTTGCAGAGATGGCACTGATGTATGGTAAATCTCCTACCTCCGTATTTTGAGTGCCACCACCTGGCTATCTCTGTCAGGCATTCTTTCTTTTTTTTTTTTTTTATTCATATGTGCATACAATGCTTGGGTCATTTCTCCCCCCTCCTCCACCCCCTCCCTTACCACCCACCCCCCCTCTCTCCCCCCCACCCCCCTCAATACCCAGCAGAAACTATTTTGCCCTTGTCTCTAATTTTGTTGAAGAGAGAGTATAAGCAATAATAGGAAGGAACAAGGGTTTTTGCTGGTTGAGATAAGGATAGCTATATAGGGAGTTGACTCACATTAATTTCCTGTGCATGTGTGTTACCTTCTAGGTTAATTCTTCTTGATATAACCTTTTCACTAGTTCCTGGTCCCCTTTTCCTATTGGCCTCAGTTGCTTTTCAGGTATCTGCTTTAGTTTCTCTGCGTTGAGGGCAACAAATGCTATGTAACTTTTTAGGCGTCTTACCTATCCTCATATCTCCCTTGTGTGCTCTCGCTTTTATCTTGTGATCAAAGTCCAATCCCCTTGTTGTGTTTGTGTCAGGCATTCTTTCCCTGGAAAAGCCCATCTAAGAGCAGAACTGAGCACCTGTAAAAGCTGGGTAACTTTCACCCCTTTAAAACCATCTCTTTAATTGGGCCTCTGTTTCCTCATTCAACATTAGCAGAGATCATGGAGATGCTTAATGAAATAATAATATGTATGATAGCACCTGGTACGTGCTTAGCATACAGTTTGTAAGAAATTCTCAATCACTCAAAGGTCATTTCTATTGAGTGACAAAACCACCCACATTGGTCTAATTGCACTTTTAATCCACTTTCTCTGCCCCCTCCACCTGGGACCATCTACTTCTTCACCTGGCAAATACTGTGCCAGCCTTCAGGATGCTTACTGATGAAGTCCAGATGCTCCTTCCTCCATACAGCCTTCTCCCCCTTTTCCCAGAAGAGTTAACTTTTCCTGTGTCTCTCCCTCCCCCTCTCCCAGTTCTGGACACATGCCTCCCTACAGCAAGCAGCAGTGTAATTATTTGTTCACTTTTCTTTCTCCCTGACTAGACTTTGAACTCTTTAAACACAAGGATAAAAGCTTTCATCTTCTTTGTTGCGTTTTGTCATATGCCCAGCACAGTGCTTAAAATAAATAAACACTTCTTGAAGGAAGAAATAAACAGACAATTGTTTCATTAGCAAGGTGAGCTTTCAAACACTCTTTTTTCCACTTGCTCTCTTTCTCTTCCTAATGTGTACAATGTGTGCTTAAGGACAAGAGATGGTCAGAGGAGAAAGAGCTTGTTTTCTGAATTCTCACTCCAAATTGGGTGAGAGCTAATACAATCTGAAAAGTGTCAGGTGTGGGCTATGAGCAAGCAGAGTGGGGATGGGCAGGAGTAGGGCTGAGATGGAGGTGGGGCTCACACACATCAACTGCCTGTGGAGTCCTTCTCTCCAGAGTCTCTCTGGCCTCCTGCTTCATGTGGCAGCCCTCAGGAAGTCTCCATAGGCATCTAGGCCTTGTTTTGCCTCTTTTCCTTTAGACTAGGGGCAGGTCAGCCACTTCGTCATGGCTTCCCTGGGCGGACACTGGGGAAGCTAACTACTAGGATTATAGCCATCATACCAATGTCACTATCATCAAACAACACCAGTTCCAGAATGTGTTCTCCATGATAGCATGAGAAAAGCGGATGCCCAGGGCATCAGTGATAAGCCCATGGCACTTCAGGATCCCTAAGTGCCTTATAAGTTGCCAAACCTATTAAATACTTCTCAAGTAACTTTTTCACAATGTGCACTTCACTAAATTTTGAATCTTTGAGAACTGGTGATTCCTATATAATATGTTATGCTGCTGGCTCCACATTTCTTAGAAGAACCTTTTCTTAGCAGAACTTTTTTTCAGATCCTCTGAAACTTAATCACAAACTACCTTCCTGGGATTGCTTAACCTCCTTGGCATACTCCATATCCTTTCTGCTCTCACTCTACACCCAAGCATGACCCAGGGGCCATTCAGTTGACTGTAGGTTCTCCCAGGACTTACTGCCACAAAAGTGCCACGGGCACTAGAAAACCTTAGCATGGTACTTTCCACCCAAATGTCATTCAGGCTGCTCACGCAACCGAGAAAGTAGAGCCTGGAGAAGAAAAGCCCATGAATGCTTCTCCTTCAGTGCAGCTTTTTTTTTTTTTGAGCATCCCTGTACCCCAACCTGGCTAGTCAAAGCCCTCCTTCTCCTTCCCTTCTCTGTAGGAGGCAACTCAGGAACCCCACAGGAAGGCCCACATGAAGTCTTGGATCTTTCCTCTTCCTTAACTATATTCCAGACAGCCTCATTCCCTCCACCCACTGTTGTTATTTTCTCATGCATTTAAAGACAAACATCATTACAATTAGTCATAGACTGAGGACCGGGGAGAGGAAGGGAATGTGTCCCTTGGCTCCTGGTGGGCTCTGCCAAGGAAAACTGCCCCCTTGTGAATGTCTCTCATGCATTGAAGCTCATCTTTCTGAGTCTCATCCCAACCTGTTCCCAGGCCCGTCCACTTCTGGAGTGTGCAGAACAGATGTAGAGACAGAAATGAGCCGTGCCCATTTGCTTCTGATTGGAAAAGGGTGGGTGTTGTGTGCCTCACCATTCAGACATTTTTCATGGTGCTATTTTTATCACAGTAATCATTAAATTGGTGTCAGATGGGCTGGTCCAGTTCCTCATGCTGAAGCTAGGAGATGGGACTTGGCAGGTTTTTTTCCCAGGAAGGAGGAGATGTGGTGCATATGAGCATGTATATGGAACCCTTCGCTTCACCGTGGGCCTCACTGCCCTAGACTGTGCTCCTTTGGCAGTAAGAGCTTGGCTCATCTTCACTCCCACTTCATTCCTGACCCTATTCATCTAACAGACTTCTGTCACACACCTTCTAAATGCCAGACATTCAATAAAACACTGGGGAGTCACAAAAACTATTGTCTCCATCCCTTGAGAAACTTGGCATTTCACCAGAAAGAATCGTACATGAGATAACAGTGGCTCCTGGACCATGGAGGTTCCAGGTGCATGAATAAGGAATAGTGGAGGGAGGATTTGTTCTGCTTGGGCTTCAGGGAAAGCTTTGGGGACATGATGACACTCATGAAAAGTCAGCCATGGCTGACTTTTCAAAGATTAGCAAAGCTATTGGATGAAAACATAAGGAAAGGCCTCCAAAGCAAAGATACCAAAGGCAGAAACATTTTTAAAAGAAAACTGTAAATTCATCCTAAATTCAGTCATGAGTCCAGCTTTTACTGAGGGTTTCCAGGCATTGCCTGCACTGACTCTTGCCCCAGGAGGTGGTGAGGAAGAGGGCCTGGAGCAGGGAAGCCACCTGGCCATTCTAGGGAACCTGGCTTTCTTCTGACTCTAGGCTTCATAACTTGACCTGTGAGCAGGGCCCAGCAGCATGGGTTGACCTGTAGTAGCAATGACCGTACAGGGTATTGAAGCTGGACACAAACTAAGGACCTCCTGCCTTGGGCCTTGTGATTGGGAACATAACTCCAGGTAAGAACCAGAATCCCTCACAGCCACAGGAGACTAAGAGCAGAATTTTCTAGATTCTGTATCTCTCAGTCTATATTATAATTCTTATAACTAAATGCCTGGAAATTCAGGGTGAAATTTAACAGAAAACCAAAATGGGGCATAACAGGGAGAAATGTGGCACTGAGTGATAGCAGAAAGTACATTTGCAGATGTTCTCAGCAATCCAGGGCTTGGCGCTCTGGTTTTCATTTCCTCTAACCAGACACTGCAAACCCCAACCCCCACAAGTCACATGACCATGCAGGCACAACTCTGCCAGTTGAGCAGGGTGCAGTGAGTGTTGTTGGAAGGGCCTCTTCAGTGGATCACTGGCCAGCTAGAAGAGCCTGGGGCCACCTGTCTGGTCAGAGCTTCTCTGCTGTGGGCCTCTTGGAGCCAGGGCTGGCTTTGTGGTCTAACTAAAGTGACAATGAAATTAATAGGATCCTGATGCTGTGACTGAGGCCATTTCCCTCTGTCTCCAAACAGGGATGAGAGAAGAAATGTCATTAGGACGCCAGGAGGCTTTTGAAATCTTCAAGAGGGATCATGCTGACAGTGTTACCATTGATGACAACAAACAGATTCTGAAACAGAGGTAAGGCTGTTTCAGAGAGCAGCTGGCCTTCTGAGGCTTAGCCAGGCCAGCCTAGAGGAAATCTGCTATTTTGTCCTTCTTAATTGGCCCAACCTAAGTTCTGTAAGAAAGGTCCAATGTTCATGCAGTTTGACATTTGCTTATGTCTGTCCAGGTATGATTCTCTTCATGTGTGGGAGCCTCATCATCCCAGTTCTATTGGGATTAGCAACGTGTAGGACAGGGTCTATTACTGACAGCATTAACTCAATATACAATTCTAACATCACACTTTGTTAGTTCTCATCTGCTTGGGACTCTTATCGATGCCTTCCTGCTCTAACAGCAGGAAAAAAATCTGTGGACCAAATTATATTCTTAGAACTCCAGGCCCTCCAACTGCTGTGGACAGCAGTCCTGCACTTTTTAGTCAAAGGAAATAAGCATACATTTTGTTACCCAGAGGCCTTTGGCACATTCTCCAGGCCACATTTAGAGTAGTCAGGATCTTCAGCTGAGTGATGTCAAACAAGGCAGTGTTCTGGACCCCTTCAGGAAAAACAGATACATAATGAGTTCAGCACATATGTTCAGACTATAGCAAACCAGACTGCTAGGTACATAGTCTAGGATGCAAAATAAAGAGCTCTAGATTAAGAACTCTTACAGATTACATGCAGCTCTGGATCTTTGCACACAGTAAATTTTCAAGACTGATCTTTTTGAATCGTCTTGAGATGATTTGACAATTTGAGTTGTGGGCCTATATATGACAAGTCAGTGAAGTGTGGGAAGTTGGTGAGCTCTCAAGAGTGGAATTATGGAGGCCTGGAGTGAAACACTTGATAGAGAGACCTTAAAAGAAAGTTGGAGGGAAAAGAGCCTGAAGAGAAGCAGAGAGAGAAGGGGGAGATCAAGAGAAAATACCACCCTGAAAGCCAAGAGGAAGGATGCTCCAAGAAGGAGAATATTGTCAGTGGTGTCAGATGCTACGAAGAAACCAGTAGAAGGGAGTTGGACCTGCACTTAGATTTGCCAACTAGAGGACATCCCAAGTTTAAATGAGAAGAAATTGAGGCAGCAGAGACAGAATGTAAGCAACATATTCTTGGGTTGGAGGCTATGGCTCAGTGGTAGAGCCCTAGCCTAGCATACTTGAGGCCCTGAGTTTGATCGCTAATGCTGCAAACAAACAAAAAAAGTGTCCCAAAGTTTGTGATATATGAAAAACATTTTTAAAAAGAAAAAAGGGAAGAGAAATTTCATTAAAGAGAAATGAAATTTTGGAACAGGGAAAACTTGACCAAGATTGCAGCACAAAGAAGCAAGCCAGTTACAAGAGCTAGGTAGAGAAACAAGGGAGGAAGCTGAGGCACCAAGGTTTCCTGAAGACAGGTTGTTATCTCAGGAGGAGATTAACCCTGGAAGGAGACATGAATAGAAAACAAATCAAAATCAGACTACACTGAGAAATTTAGAAGCAGATGGGCAAAATTGAAAGTGACCTCTATTTTCACTGTGTGAAAGAAATTGAGGTAGAATAAAAGCCTTGTAGATGATGGTGGTTTAACACACCTGCCCCAAGAGGGGCAAGAAGGCAGACTGGAAGAAGAAAAAGGAAGGGCAGGCACTGAGGGCTGAGGGCCCACCTAGACTGTTACAATGGCATTGATGCTTGAGCTGGAAGAGATCGCATGTCTTGGGAATCCAGAGATAGTGACAGAAGTACAGCCATCCTGGAGAGCAGTCCAGCACTTCTAAGTCAAAAGAAGAATATGCATCCCTGAGACCTAGCAATCCCACTTTTGAGTACATGTGCCAATACGTACTCATCTAAATTCCTAAGGGGAAATCTATGAGGATGCTTGTGACAGCAGTCTAGGGCCAAAGAGAGTTGGACATACTCTGGGTGCCCATCACTGGGCCAGTGAATAGGTAAAATAATGGAGAAGACTGTGGATTAGGATGCAGCCAGTGGAAGCAATGAATTAAGGCTATGTAACAAGGATAGGTCTTAAAAGAACAATGCTGAGTAAGAACATAATTCCTATAAATTAAAAATATATGCACCCCTCCCAAAAGAAGCATGTAAACAAAAAGATACACTTCAGTATGCTTTAGCCATGAGATTCAGAACAGAACAGGAGAATAAAAAGGAATGAAAGGGTCAATGAATAAAACCAGAGGGTGGGGAGTAGATAAAGTGAGTCTAATAAAAGCTAAGGACTCTCTGCCTAGGAAAGTGAACATTTGTACATGTGAGTCCAAGGGGTTCAGAACCTGCTAATGCTTATTGAAACCATGCATTTTCAATATGGCCAATTGGACATGTTAGAGCAAGATACCTTCCCTGGTTGTCTGAAGACAAGCATATCAAGTAGATGACAGCTGCGCCTTCCTTTAATAAAGACTTCCAAAGAGCCCTCAGCTGTTTCCCTGCCTGGGTCTTAGCTTATACAGATGGCTCTTAATCCTGGGTTCATATTAAAATGAGCCATGGAGCTTTAAAACCCTACCAAATCTTGCCTGCCTTTTCAGATATTCTGATTTAATTATGTGGGGGCTGAGCATCCCTTTTCACAACCAGATTTGGAAACCACTAACCCAGATAGTATCCAGAGACATTGAAATCCAGAACCTCTGAGGCGCAATCCCCCAAACTCCACAGATTTTAAAAAACTACCAGCTGATTCTTTTGTACACTCAAGTTTAAGAACCACTGGTAGGGAGAACGTAATTTATCTTTCTCTAAAATTGTCGGAGTTCCTGGTTTAGGCCGTTTCTTGAGTTTGGGTCTGTCTCCAGTGGAGAGTCTGTGCAGGTTAAGTATTTCGTACTTTCTCATAGGCATCTCGACTCTAGTAGAGGAGAGTTCTGACACCTATGTCACAAATGTGCATTTTGGTATAAACATATCTACATCATGCAGGATGAGCTGCAAAACTGGTGATCCCATCTTTCGTGTGGCCATTGTGCAAGGGAACTAATGAGACTCACACATAGCTTTCCTTTGAAAAGAGATCTTCCCAGCAGTAAATAAGCCTTTTTAAATCAAGTGAAAATTCACGAGACAAGCCTACATTTTCAGAAACTTCTACATCTGTTTAACGTTACCATAATACCACTCATTAAATGACTATTTGTTACCCAGGGGTGACAAATCCTTTTCTCAGGATTGGCACTTTTGTTTGCATTTGTGGATATTATTCAATTGTTAGATGTTACATACTCATAGCTGCTTGAGGCAGGGAACTAAGAGACAATGTCTTCACATAAAAACAAACAACTGCACAACCAGTGTTCCAACAGCACACACCAAAATAAGGCCCCAGATACTCTGGGGTGACTTCCATGCCTCCATTATGTAGACCTGTTATACCAGTAACCCTGATCCCTTCCACACATTCACTCTAGCTCCCCCTAATGGCAGGGAGGACCCTTGTAGATATCTGTGGGAAAACTGGCCCATCCTAGAAATATAGACACAGACCAGATTTGGCTACAGATGGCATTCAATTACTGTTTCCTCACTCTACAGGAGGTCTCATCTTTCTAATGGTGCCCGGGACCCACCCACATGGCCTCCCATTTTTCTCCTCTCTTCTCACATATAGTAACTGGTCTAATGGTTCTGGTGTGGTGATATCATATTGGCAAAATGTACAAAGGAGAGACTGGAACTAATTGCCCCTGTGCAACAGCTTCTCTAGACCACAGCAAGCAGATTCCGATCCTGATGAAGGGATCAGATCATTGGTGACCTGGAATCCTTTCTGATTCCCTCCACGCCCCATAGTACAAAACCAGACTTAGAATAGCAGGAGGGGACCTGAATGGTTATGCCTTCCATGGTACTTAATTAAAGGAGTTTTCTTCCCTTTTCACCTGTACACCTTGCTGCATGGAATTGCTAGCATCTCTGAGCTCTGGTTCTCAGTCTGGGGGAAGTTGTGTTGCCTGCCTGTGGCCACAGAAACAAGTTGTTGGCATGTTAATAGAATATTTGCCCTTCAATGACCTACAGCATGTGAGCCAGTTCTTAAGTGGATTTTTTTTTTTGATGGAGGACACTAGCAGTTCACAATCACTACATTTTCTAAACATGACTCATCCTCATAGTATATAATAATATGAAGAAAGACTGGTAACCTCATGCTTGGCAAATATGCCTAGGCAACCCACAGTGAACTTTCTTTTGTGGCAAATCCTTTATACACACTGACTCCCTCAGACAAGGAGACCTATTAAATAACAAAAGAAGGAATGAGTGGAGGAATTAACTACAATTGGAAATAAAGGCATTGATAATGTGCACTAAACCAAGAGCCCCTGCACTCAGTTGGATCCTTCCAACATAGAATAGAACAGCAATCTAAAACCAACAGGAAAATTGGGCTAAGGGTGGAGAGAAATCTTGGGCACCATCTGGAAATAACACCCATGACAAATAGGAGCTCCCTGGTTCCTATTATACTTCAAGTTAAACCTTTGTTATTTTCCCGTTTTTGTATTTACCTTGTCTACTAAACTAGAATTATAAACTCTGAGAGCAAAGATTAGATTAGAATCTCCTCAACTTCCCCATAGTTTTTTTTAAATGCTACTAGACACAAAAATAGTTCTCAAAATTTGTCTTGTTTCACAATGACAATTTGAAGTTGACTTTGAAGAGTCTTAGCAACCAAGAAAACTGCTTGAGAATATATGTAGCTCCCTAGAAGTGAGAGGATGCTGCTGCAAGCTGAATAAAAAGTTGGGGGAGAAGCAGCTCACCAGGAGGCAAGAGAAGGCAGGCTTTTTGATGGGGGGAAGAGACAAAACAGAAAAGGAATATTGATATTTAAAAGGAGTGCAGACTAGAGATGTGGCTCAAGCAGTAGAGTGATGCTTTGCAAGCCTGAAGCTCTGAGATCAAACCCCAGTCCCATGGGGAGAAAAAAAAAAAATCTCTAGGACTAGCAGTGGAGTGGCTCAAGTTTTTGAGCACCTGTCTAGCAAGCATGAGGCCCTGAGTTCTAACC